CCGGCTGGCCCCGGCGCAGCTGCGGGAGCTGCTGGAGCTGCGGGACCCGCGCGCGTTCCCCCCGCACGCCACGGCCCCGGCCGCGGGGCTCTTCCTGCAGCGCGTGGACTACAGCCCCCAAGGTGGGCTGCCTTCCCTGCACTCCCTTCTTAATGAGCAGTGTAAAGTGCTAATTGTTCGTAAGTGTGTGTTAAATTATTGTATATAAAATATATATGATTATGTATTAAATATATGTAATAATAGATAGAATTATAGATAGTATATATAATATAAGATAATGTAATTATGTATTTATATATAATTATACGAAATGTATTTACATTATATTATATTACATTAAATTATATTACATTATATTGTATTACATTATATTATATTACATTATATTATAATAATATATTATAAATAATAATGTATTATAATTATATTTGTTATATATATTTTATTTATAATATATATAATGTATTATATTACATTATAATATATTACATTATATTATAATAATATAAAATAATAATATATTGTATTATAAGTATATTTGTTATGTATATTAATAAATATTAATAAACATGTTGATAAATATTAATAAATAATTGTAATGGTGATATAACCATACTGTAGTATGTAATGCTATCATATATAATATTATGGTATATAATGATGTAATTATTATAATAATATAGAATGAATATATATTAATCAATATATAATATATTTATAAATTTATTGTATATTAATATATCATATAATAATTTATATTATATTATAATGATATTACATTATATTCATTTTGAAATAGTATATAATTATATAATTCTTTATAATAATATGTAATTAGTATATAAAATATATATACGTATAAAATATACATATATATAAAATATACATATATTTTATATATAACATATATATATACGTATATAATTCTCTCTAAATCAATGTTTTATTTTCCCCTAAATCAATATTTTTTCCCCTAAATCTGTGTTTTTGCTCCTCTCCCCTCTCAGATTTGGCCCCTCCCCCAGCAGAAGAGGAGCTCTGCGGGCCGAGCTGAAAGGAAATTGCAACATGTGTAACAAAATTACTAATTAAACATTTATAAAAATTATAACATTATAATTTTATCATTTTCGTCTCTTTTCTCATGTTTTGTCCTTTTCTCATATTTTTATCTTTTTTTTTTGTGTCTTTTCTCATGGTTTTCTCATGTTTTTTATCTCTTCTCATATTTTTATCTTATTTTAATCTGTTCTCATTTTTATCATTTTTTATCTTGTTGTCTCTTTCCTCCCATTTTAGTATTTTTTGTCTCTTCTCTCATGTTTTTATCCCTTTTTAAAATCTCTTCTCATGTTTTTATCATGTTTTATGTATCTTTCCTTTTTTTTATCAAGTTTTGTCTCTTTCCTCATGGTTTTATCAAGTTTTTTGTCATCTTTTCATGTTTTTATCAAGTTTTTCCTTATGCTTTAATCACTTTCTTCTCTCCTTATGCTTTTATCACTTTTTTCTCTCTCCCCTCATGCTTTTATCACTTTTTTCTCTCTCCCCTTATACTTTTATAATTTTTTTTTCTCTCTCCCCTTATACTTTTATAGTTTGTTTCTCTCTCCTCATACTTTTATCATTTTTTCTCTCTCCCCTCATGCTTTTATCACTTTTTTCTCTCTCTCCTTGTACTTTTATCACCGTCCCCTCGGGATGATTTAAAGGCTCTGTCTGCTGGGAAAACTCCAATATTTGTGGTTTAAATGTTTATTTTCTCCTTTTTTAGGGATGCTGCTGGGTGAGCGTCGCTGTGGGGTGAAACTTCAGCTCCTGCCCACGAGGGATGGAATAAAACTCCAGGAGTGAGGGAAGAATTCAGACTTCACCCCTGTGGAGGGAGCAGCTCCCGAGGGAAATAATTCCTGAGGGGAGCAATTCAAGATGGGAGTAATTCCTGAGGGGAGTAATTAAAGATGGGAGTAATTCCTGAGGGGAGTAATTTCTGAAGTAATCATTCCTAAAGGGAGAAATTCCTAAAGTAATCATTTCTGAGGGGAGGTATTCCTGAGGGGAGCAATTCAAGATGGAAGTAATTCCTGAAGGGAGCAATTCCTGAGGGGAGGAATTTCTGAGGGGAGGAATTTCTGAAGTAATCATTCCTGATGGGAGCAATTCCTGAAGGAAATCATTCTTCAAGGGAGTAATTCCTGAAGTAATCATTCCTGAAGGGAGTAATTCAAGATGGAAATAATTCCTGAGGGGAGCAATTCCTGAAGGGAGGAATTTCTGAGGGGAGGAATTTCTGAAGTAATCATTCCTAAAGGGAGTAATTCCTGAATTAATCATTCCTGAGGGGAGTAATTCCTGAGGGGAGCAACTCAAGATGGGAGCAATTCCTGAAAGGAGCAATTCCTGAAGGGAGTAATTCCTGAAGGAAATCATTCTTCAAGGGAGTAATTCCTGAAGTAATCATTCCTGAAGGGAGCAATTCAAGATGGGAGCAGTTCCTAAAGGGAGCAATTCTTGGAAGTAATCATTCCTGAAGGAAGAAGTTCCTGAAAGGAGGAATTCCTGAAGGAAATCATTCCTTAAGGGAGTAATTCCTGAGGGGAATAATTCCTGAAGGTTGTCAGAGCACTCCTGGGTTTGTGTTCAGGCATGTTTTGGGCTCAATCTGTTGAATTTTGGGGCTGGTAGAACCTGGGGCTGTTTCCTGGCAAGCAGCACATCCCAGGAAAGGGGGATTTGAGGGAAATGCAGGAAATTGCTGGATCCAGGCAGCCCTGCTGGGCTTTTCCCTCTTTTCCTGCTGCCCACATTCCACAGCCAAATTTGGGGCTTCTCGTCCTGCCTTGGCTTCCCCAGGAATATTCCAGCATTTCCAGGCTGGACACTGATCCATGGGAGCTCAGAAGGGAGCAGATATTTGAGAAATCCCAGGATTTAACTAAACAAGCTCCTCTCTCCACACACTCAGCCCAGCTCTTCGCACTGTGTGGTCTTGAAATGTCAAAAGTTCTTTTTTTCCACTCACATTTGGCGATGTAAACACAATTATCTGACCTTCCCTCACCCCTTTTCTTGTATTAACTTCTGAGCACTTGAGTTTCCATCCCCTGTGAGACTCTGCAGAGGATTTTGTCATTTCTGAGGCACCAGAAATGACCAAATTTTGTCATTTCTGAGGCACCAGAAAACCACAGGCCTGACTTAAAACCTGCTTAGAACCGAGTTTACCCAACAGGATCTGGAGTTTTGGTGTAACACAGTTCTGCTCCTTCACCCCAAAATTTTTGTAAAGGGCTGAGAGCAGCAGAGCAACAAAAATCTGAATTTCCAAATGCAGCCAGAAATTCACCCAGGTGCTTGTTCTTAATTGGCCATCTCATTAATTACTGTTAAAAGCCCAGGCTGGCCTCTGGCCTTTCCCTTCCTTTGTTTTGCTCAGAGCATTTTTTAAATCTTGCTAAGAAAATCGGCTCCAGCTTTTCTAAATTACAATCCCTGGGAAGTTCTGGTGAAAATCTTGGCACTGTGAGAGCCTCAGAGGGAGCATCAGCCCCAAATAATCCTTTACCTTTAGCAGAAATTGCTATTTTTATCCCAGTTCTGGGCTTTTAATCCCATTTCTAGGCTGTGGAAAATCCTAACAGCACTGGAGAGGGACTGGTTTTATCACAATCTTTATGGATAAAGCACAGTCTTTATGGAAAAATGTAAAAAATTGGATTGGAGGCTCCTTGGAGCTGGCCCTGAGGGAAGGATGGAGAATTAAAGAGGTTTTGCTGCTTGGTTATCAGCACATTTAGGATTTTTTACTTTCTGTAGGTCCTGTGGTGCTTTTATACTTTGAATTTTAATTGTTTCAGGCAGCACTGAGGAGATTTTAAGGGAAATCAGCTGTGGGAGGGGAGAACACTGAGTAACTTTTATTTCAATGTGTAAACAAGTCAATTCTTGAGTTGTTTACACATTAAATCTCCTCAGATCTATTTCAAAACAGGTTCTTGACTCCCTGGATAAAGTTTTTTTCCAAGTGGGAAAATCCCAGTGCTGGTGACTGTCACTGCAGTAATTGGACAAACACTGGAATTCTTTTATTAAAAGCAAGCAGAAAAAAGCATTGAGGATGTAAACAAAATAAAATCTGACCCTGTGAGGCAGCCTGGGCTGGGCTCTGCTCTCAGGGGGTGCTCTGGGGCAGCCCTTTCTTCAGCAGGGATGTGAGATAACTGCCAAGCTCTTCATCCTAAAAGGGATACAAAGAAATAGGATGAGAGAGCAAAATCTTCCTTTTTGGGGTATTTGGGGCAGTAAATTCAATTTTGGTACCTAGGAGTGGACTGAGAGAATTCCCGGACCCTGCAGGATCTGATGTGAGCTGTGTTTAAAAACTGAACCAATCCACAAATTAATTTCTTGCTGTTCTGACAAACTATTGCTGTGAAACTCCCATTTCTCAAAGGACCTGAGGGGTTTCCTTTCAGGAGAAGTCCCATTTTTGCTTGAAATCAAGGGATACACTGATTTTATTGCTTTGCCTTCCAAAGGCATTTCCCTGCTGTCAAGAAAGAGTTTAATCATCCAGAAAGTTTAATAATCCGGCCACAGGAAGGAAAGATGATGGGATGACTCAAATAAAAGAATGTTAAGATCAGAAATAGTTCTCTACTTGTTTGAAATTTTCCAAGTAAGAAACACAGAGTGAAATACTCAGCAGAGCTCCAACACAGAACTGAATTAATTAAGTGGAATTGCCCCAGAAGTTCTCTGCTTTACAGAGCTATAAAACCATTTCTGCTCAACCCCAAAAAGCTCAAAAAACAGCAGGCACTCCCCTCATCTTCCAAACTGCTCCAAAGCCAGAGGAGGGAGGTTTGGGATGGGAGGAATTTGGGTCAGAAGTGAGGAATTCCCACCTGGTAAGTCCAGGACACGAGCAGGACTTTGGTTCCTTGGTCCTCTGAGTGAGCTGTGGCCTGGATCAGGATGGACTCCACAGTGATGGAGCCATCAGGGAGGTGCTGCACTGAGTAATCCTTCAGGATCCTGCACAGACAGGGGAGGAATTTGGGATTTAATTGGGAAAATAAATGCTGGGTCTTCATCCCAAATCCCAGCCTGTTCCTCTCTTGGTTGGCTGAGCCCAAGAAAGGAAAAGGGGATGACCCACAGCTCATTCTGGAGTTTCCATCAATCATGGAGGATTTCCTGCAGGAATTATTCCTGCAGAGTTCATCCAGCTAACCTGAGCCCTGTTCTGAGGGCGGAACTTGGGATGCAGCAGCTGCATGGAGGGAAAACCACATTTTATCATTCTGCTGCTGCCAGCTCAAAGGAGAGGCCCCAGCTGAGCTGCCTGGATTGGCAGCAGCCCTAAATGGATTTCTGATTCCCTTCAAAGAAACCACTCTGCTCTGGCTGGAAAAAATGGGATTCCCAGGGGAGCAGCTTTCTTCTCCCCTGCATTCCCAGAAGAGCAGCTTTCTTCTCTGCATTCCTGCTCTGACTGAGTGTTTGGTTTTGGTTTTTTTTTGTAGTATTAAATTTGTACTTTTTTTTTTTTAATTTTCCCAGTAAAGACCTGTTATTCCTACTTCGATCTCTTTAGCCCTTAATTTCAAAATCATAGTAATTCAATGGGAGAGGGTTTGCATTTTCCATTTCAGGGGAGGCTCCTGCTCCTCTTAAGTTTTGGGTTGCTGCTTGGGGTTAAAAAAAAACCACATGGGGATAAAAAACCATGGGGTTAAAAAAAATCCCTGAGGGCTGGAAAAGCCTTGCCAGGGGCTCAGGGCTCACCCCTTGAGGTGGTTGTAGACCCTGAGCACGGTCTCATGCTCCTTGCGTGGGTCCTGGATGTGCACGCGGCAGGTGAAGCGCAGCTGATGCTCGGCCAGCCCCAGCTCCTTCAGGGCCTGCTCAGGAGAAACCAGCCTGAAACTCTGAGGGGGAAAAAAAAAGAGATTAAATGGAGAAAATGGATCCTCAGAGCTTGGGGGATTGTGGTGCTGCTCTGGAGTGGGGGGAAGCAGGGAAGGGCTGAAATATCGCGGAGGGTTTGTCGCTGCTGAGGGTGGGGAGGAAAGGGACAGCTGAGAGTGGGACAAAACTTCCAGCTGGATGATTGTAAATAAAGGTTTAACAGCATCCAGTTGGTCTCTGGAGAATGGTTTAAGCTGTAGCAGGGGAGTGATGTTTGAAAATGAAGGTGAGGTTGAAGATGAGGCATCTTTGTTGTGAGGAGGCAGAAGCGCTCCCGGTGATTTGGGGTCTGAAATGTGACAGCGCCTTCTGAGGGCACAAAAAACAGCCCAGAAGGCACAAAACAGCCTCAGAGGGCACAAAAAAACACCCCAAGAGGGCACAAAAAAAACATCCTCAGGGGACACAAAAACCCCTGAGACAACACAAAACAGAGGACATGAAAAACAGCCTGAGAGCACACAAAAAACAGCCTGAAAGGGCACAAAACCCAGAGGACACAAAAAAAAACAACCCTCGGGACCTAAAAACCCCTCAGGTGACATAAAAACCCCCTGAGAGGACACAAAAAGAACCCTCAGAGGACACAACACCCCCCCAAGAGAAGCTGCAGGGCTGCTGTACTCACGTTATCCTTCATGAGCAACGTGCCGTGCATCAGCTTCGGCTTCTTGGCGTCAGGTGCAGCACCTAAAGCAGGGCCAGGGGCACAGAAACACATCAGGAGCTGCTTTTTCACCCCAAAACTCCAGGACTGAGGCTGGGGCACTGCTGAGCTTCACACACCGAAATTTGACACTTGTCTGCTCAGTGCTTCGGTGTTTAACCATGATCAGAAATATTGACAGCTAAGAAATAATATTTAGTGATACCAAACAACTCCCTCTGTTCCCACAGCATTTCCTGACGGAAGAATTCCATTATTCTTTCTAAAAAATTAAATTTATAAAGGTAATTCCAGCTCTCCCAAACCAAGCTGCTGCAAGCACACATGGGGAAGCAAACCAGGCAGGGTGCGCGCATCCATTTAAAAATTTAAATTATATTTTTAAATATAAATGTACAGCTTTCTACCTACAGAAAAAAAAGCAGCAGCAGGGGGGAAATGAGGGTGGGAAGTGTCACCTATGGCTGTTTCCCTTTTGAGGAGGCCCAGGGAGATGTCCACAGGGATGCAGGGGTTGGTGAGGATGGTGGTGGTCTCTCCGTTGGCTGGCATGAAGCAGCTGACATCTGCAAAGGGAACAGCAGCAAGCAAACTTCAGCTCCAAGGGGGTCATTGCAATTAACTATGCTTCATTAGGGTTAATTAAGGTGTTACAGGCATCAGTTCCTTGAGGGGAGGTGTACATTTGGCCCTGAGGGCCAAAATGGATCAAAAAAGTGATTTTAAAGCTTTAATGCCATTCCTTCCTCTCCTTCCTCTCCCATGGAAAACAATCCTAATTCATGTCCAAGGGATTATTGCAATTAACTGGGCTTAATTGGGCTTAATTAAGGTGTTACAGGCATCAGTTCCTTGAGGGGAGCTGTAAATGCCACCCCACTTTACTGAAGGACTGAAAGTGGATCAAAAATGTGTCAAGTTTTAATGCCATGCCCTCCTCTCTCAAGGAAAACAATCCTAATTCATGTCCAAGGGATTATTGCAATTAACTAGATTTAATTAGCGTTAATTAAGGTGTTACAGGCATCATTTCCTTAAGGGAAGGTGTAAATGGCACCCTGAGGGCCAAAATGGATCAAAAATGTCATTTTCAAGCTTTAATGCCATTCCCTCCTCTGCCATGGAAAACAATCCTAACTCATGTCCAAGGGGGTCACCGCAATTAACTGGGCTTAATTAGTGTTAATTGAGGTGTTATAGGATGAGTTCTTTGAGGGGAGCTGTAAGTGCCACCCCACCTAACTCTGCTGAGAGATCCAAACCAGATCAAAAATGTGATTTTAAAGATTAAAGGCCATTGCCTCCTCCCCCATGGAAAACAATCCTGATTCATGTCCAAGGGGGTCCCTGCAATTAACAGGACTCAGTTAATGCTAATTAAGGTGTTACAGGATCATTTCTTTGAGGGGAGGTGTGAATCCCACCCCAAGTGACTGTGCTGAGGGATACAGAATGGATTAAAAATGTGATTTTACAGTTTTAATGTCATTCCCTCCTCTCCTGTGGAAAACAATCCTAACACTCATTCAATGGGGTCCCTGCAATTAACTGGGCTTAATTCATGTTAATTAAGGTGTTACAGGATGAGTTCTTTGAGGGGAGGTGTGAATGCCACCCCACCTAATTGTGCTGAGGAATCCAAAATGGAGCAAAAAAGTGTAAAGTTTTAATGCCATTCCCACCTCTCCCACGGAAAACAATCCTAACTCATGTCCACAGGGGTCACTGCAAATTAACAGGACTAAATTAATGTTAATTAAGGTGTTACAGGATCATTTTCTTGAGAGGAACTGTAAATGCCACCCTATCCAAGTGTGCTGAGGGATCCAAAACGGGTGGAAAACGTGATTTGAAGCCGTTTCCCGGCGGTGGCAGGGATACCTACGGAATTCCTGCTCGATTTTCTGCCTCAGGAATTCCATTTTCTTGGCCTCGCCGTGGACCAGGAGGACGTTCCTGGGCTCAGCCTGGCGGATCAGCTGCATGATGCCCTTGGCATCGGCGTGGGCACTGAAGGACATGTACTCCACCTGCATCTTCACCTCCAGCTGCAGAGCAGAGCACAGCCTTGGGAAAGGGGGAATTCCTCTGGGACGCACCCCCGCGTTAATTACTGCTAATTAAGGATTATTTATTTGAGAGGAGTTGTA